GGAGGACCTTGAGTGCTAAGCAAAAAAGTTTGAACTTTACTTGGTAAGTATAATCCAGCTATGTATATGGGAATATGAGCTCAGTTTCATGCATGTTTCTTTGATGATAATGACAATATTCTCAGAGAAGTCCTTTTGTCAGTAAGAACCAGGATTGATGCATAGATGAGAGGTCACATTTGAAAATCTAGTTTTTGACATCAATCCAGAAACTAAAGTTGTGGTCATAAGAATGGAAAAACTGATTGAGAGAGTAACTCAGAAAATAGAAGAAGGCTGAGGAGCTTCCCCTTGGAGGTTCCTACAGTTAGGAGATAAATCAAAAAACAGAAGAACCAATGAAGGAAATAAAGAAATCATTACAAATGACTAAAGTAAACAAAGAACCTAAAGTACACTGAGTCAAGATCTGCCAGAGTGCAATCGTGTAACAATTTATACTTCTTTTCCAAGTAGGCCATATTTTACAAAGTCAGTCTTTAGAAAGATCCTGCTACATTAGAAAATGTGTAGGTTTTCCTGCGTGAGGCAGGCTAGGACTTAGTTTCAGGGTATCTTTTTTTCCATTATATTGTATTTATGTCTGCTCTTTTGCATACTTACCTAACTTAACCCCATTACCTTGTTTTGAACTTAGACTTCTGTATAATCTTAGCCTCTTGATTGCTGGATTGATCAACAGACATTTTGTTCAGCTCCTTCTTTGTAACACCATGCATTGTGTAGGCAGTGGGGATACAAAATGAAGTGAAAATAAGTACATTATAGTCCAGTCAAGGGGACAATCTGTACATATATACCTGTAACTATAAATACAGAGCATTTTATTGGGTTTGAGGAGGATCACTACAAGTTGAGGGAATAGGAAAGACCATATACAGAAGTTGGCACTTGAGTTGAGCCTTTTAAGGAAACTAAGGTTTCTGCATGACAGAGGTGCCAGTGCAACAGCATGAAGGAAGACATAAAGGGAAAAAAAAAAGGCCAGTTTGTATATAAAGACCACAGCATATAAAGAAAGTAATGTGCATTAAATGTGGAAAGGTAGGTTGGGGTCAGATTGTAAAGGGCCTTAAATGCCAAATAGAGAAATGTATATTTGGTCCTGGAGGTAATAGGGAGACAACGAAATTTACTGAATGGGAGAATATGGATGGATTTGGGGTGGGTGGGAGAGGGAGGAGTAGGGTTTAATGTGGTCAGATTGGTGCTTTAAGAAAATCACTGACAGTTGTGTGTGAAGGATACATTAGAATTGAGAAGTAGAGAGTCCAGTTGGAAAGCTATTGAAATAGTCCAAGTGAGAAGTAATTAAGACCTGAAGTAGGATGGTGGCTGTGTGAGTGGAAAAGGGGTAATTATATGAGAAATGTGAAGATAGAAGAGACAAATTTCAGCAACTGATGAGAAATATGAGGCGAGTAAGAGTGAGGCACTGAGAAGCAAGGTGACTTGAAGAAGGTGGTGCCCTTGACAGTAATAGGGAAGTTTAAAAAGGAATGAGTTTAGGAGAAAAGATAGTGATTTCTGTTTTAGACATGTTGAGGTTGAAATGCCTGTGGGACATCCAGTTCACAGTGCCCAATGATGGATAGTTGATGATGCTGAATTAGAGCTCAGAAGAGAGTCCAGTTGGATAAATAAATCTTGGAATCATCTGCGTAGAGATCATAATTGAACCTACAGGAGTTGTTGAAATCACCAAATGAGAGTAAAGAGAGAAAAGAGAAGAGAACCTTGGACAGAGCCTTGAAGGATACTCTCAGGCAAAATGTGGATCAAGATCTAGCAAAAAAGACCTAGGAGTGTACTAACAGGTAAAAGAACCAAGAAAGAACAGTCCTGGAAACCCAGAGAGAAAAGAGTAGGCAGGCAACAGTGGCCACAGTTTCAGCTACTGGAGAGAAGTCAAGAAGGGTGAGAATTAAGAAAAGATAATTAGATTTGTCTATTAAGAAAGCACTGGTAATGTCAGAGAAGGCAGTTTCAGTTGAATGATGAGGTCAGAAGGCAGATTTCAAAAAGTTAAGAGTAAGTGTCTACCAAGTATAAATAGGTTTTCAAAGAATTCATCTGAGAAAGGAAGGAGATGTATATAATGTAGTACAGTAGCTGGAGAGATGGTAAGCTTTAGGTAAGGTATATTTAAGGGTGGATGAGATATAGGCAAACCTGTAGGCAGAAAAAAAGGAACCAGTGGATAAAAAGAGGCTGAAGGTTAATGAGAGTAAGGATGAAATGGAGGCATTCTGCTGAAGAATATGGAAGGGGTGGGATCGAGGGTGAATGCTAACGTTTGGCTTCAGCAAAAAGGGCTGTCTCTTCATCAGAGACTGGAATAGTGGGTGAGAGAAGGGAGATGATGTGACAGGGTTTTGAGATAAAAAGAGGAAGCTCATAGTGAGTGGCCTCTTTTTTCTCAGTAAAATAGGAGTGGAGGTTCTCAAGTGTGAGGGATTGGGGAGATGATGACATAGGTTTCAGGAGAGAAGGGAGGGTTTGCAACAGCCACTGTCAGTGGGGAGGGATAGACAATCAATCAATTAGGATCCTGCCACTATAGTACTTAAGAAATTGTTAATTAAGTACTTGATTTTAACAATGTGAGTGCCACCTCCAATGATGCAGATCACAGACTCTATTTTCTTTATTAGACTGTTTCAGGAGTTGTTATGGCTGAAGAAGAAAGGCATCACTGGGTGGACAGACAACCTTCAGAGATGAACTCCAAACTTAGCTAGACTAGTCCCTAGACAACTGATGTATTTATAATTGACCTCTAGGCCCCAGCTTCCCTAATTTAGGACTGTATGCAAGGCCATTTTTGATTAGTTGGTAAAAAATTTCGTTACCATTTACTTGTTTTAGTAATGTTTTAATCCACTTTAAAAGTACAAATTAAGTGCATTGTACATTTAACTCTAGGTTATAGTTGGGAATTGTGTATTTTATGGTTTTAGAATTCAAGTGTACCTCCATAGGCATGCATAGAACATGGGCCAGATGTGCTGGCTTGTATGTACTTCACTTTATGGAATATAACTGACAGCTGTAAAACACATATCTATAAATCAATCCATGTTTTCCCGTTCACTTTCATTGTAGTCTGAGATATGTGTTCCTACAGCAAAACTTTGGACTCACGACATATACCTGTCATTCTAGTTCTCTCTGGATGTCTTTTTTCGGCCTATAATTATGCAGATATACTGGATATCAATAGCTAGAAGAGAAGGTAGAAGTAGTTAAAACTGCTTCTATCACTTTACTCCTGATATTTTTGTCTGTCTCACTGAGGCTGTGATACAATGCAAATAGCCAAGGAACCCATTGGTACACATTTGTGGGAGTGTATTAATTCAGCTCTTCTGGGAGGGGATAACAAATTCACTGTGTCCTTTTCTAATTCTATTACAGCATATTTCTAGAGTTTAATTCATTGTACATTTAAAGATAATTAATCTTAACCTATCAGGGAGCTATTGCAGATACTTTACCAGGATTTTCAAACCATGTGATCCACTTCTTAGGCAAGCTCTGATTCTTCTGTTCTTTGTTCTATTTCTCATTTTCCTCCTTTTCCACTTGCTTTTTCTTTGCCTGAATGAGAGGACATATAATAATTGTAAAAGCAATTTGAATTAAGAAAACTGTAAAGAGGAAAATAGAAATATAATTAATAAATATAAATTTGATGAGTCAAGATGATATATACCTAAACTATATAGAGCTTTCTGGTTTAAAATACTTTAAATATATGATCTCATTTAATTCTTACACTGTCCCTAAGAGGTAGGTACTATAGGTATTATTATCCCCATTTTACAAAACAGAAAGTGAGAGGTTAATTCCTATACCAGTGTCAGAGGTAGAATTTGAATCTGGGTCTCTCTCGACTACAATCTAAAGTTCTTTACACTATATCTTACTGCCTCCAAACCTGTTTTTTAATATCCTCTCCTCAGTTTTTTCATTATTGAGAATATTCGACATATACAGGGTAAAATTCCACCACAAGTTAGAAAATTCAAAGTAGTAAGGACCACGAACCATCTGTATGCTATGGGCCTTAGGTGTTTTTTAATCTTTCATCTTTTGTGAGGATCAAATTTCATTAGAAAAATAAGCCATAGGCATTACAAACTCAGCCTAGTGAAATTCAATATTCACAATGACAATTCAGAATATGAACTCCATAGAGGGGAAAAAAAACTAACCTTCCCCCTCTCAACTTTGCATCTAAATATCTTAAAGAGCACCACTGGTTTTATGAAATGGTTTTGATCTGCACTCCTAAGTTTAAGTTCAAAAGAGAACTTATATTTTTAAGTGTATTCCTTCTCTGAGTATGTTTACTTTGAACTATAGCATATCGTTTCTCCTATAAATCTAACCTGCCACTATCTGTTTTTAAGGCTTTGTAAACTCCAAGTGGTTATGATGTGTGAAGTTTGGATTAAACTGAAATTTTTAGAAAACATATGTTACAAATTTTGAGTTATTTTGATTGTTTCAAATAGTAGAATTTTAACATAAATGTTCAGTGAAGAACTCTGGGCCCTAGCAAGGAGCAATGTAGCATACTGGGGTATGGTGAAAAACTGGACTAAAGGAAAAAAGAAATTCCAGAAAATTGCTGTTTCCTATCAGAGGAATGATTGTCTAATGAAGCCACTGCTCTTATTCTGCATATAGTCATTTGAAAAGCTTATCTCTACTCATAAACCTTAAAATGATCACGCATGGAAAAAGTCATAATGTTTTGGCAAATAGTACTTTGTTAGGAATGTGCATGAAGTATACCTGCTTCATAACTAGTATGCTATATAAATTCCATCAAAGTATGTTGGAAGGTCATCCGAAAAAGAATACAGTATGAAGAAAGGAATGGAATAAAGGCTTGAAAAAGAATATATTCCTTTATTTAAAAAAAAAAACATACTTTTTATAGCAAGGGCAAAATTAATGAAGCATGCATATGCCTTTTTCTTATTTTTTAGGGGTAATTCTTGGATCATCATTACTACTCAACATAAATGACTTTCTCCTGAAAACAAGCCTCAAAGAAAAAAACCGAGTTCTAATAGGGCCCTGCTGCGGTACTGCCAGTCTGGAAGCTAAATGGTGTAAACATAGTGGTAATCCTGGCCCAGAACAATCGATTCCAAAAGTGTTCATTGATTTAAGAGGAGGGCTAATACAGGTCTGTGGTAGTTGTCTAGAGTTCTCATATTCCAGTAACTTCTTAATTAATGTTTTTAGTTGGTTTTTTTAAACTGGTGTTAATTTTTTAAACTTTGGTTTGATGGGGAAAAGGATTATCCAATTACTCTCCCATTATTTTAAATAATTCCTTGGTTGTCATCTTGTCCTAAGTACAGTTACCATTAATAAGTTACCATTAATAAGAGTTACTATTAATAATATTAATAAATAATAATAGCCAAAATAAGACTATTCACATTAGCAAGTATAGCTAGGTCCCTTAGAAAGGGATTATTAATACTTAACATATAATATCATATTCAGCTCTTTAGCACATGTACCTTTAATCCACAGAAAGAAAAATTTAAAGAAATTTGACGTATGTGTTGATGTAATCTATCATTTGGAGAAATTCGCACCTCTTTGGGATATGTAAAAATGAACCCAAACCCAGAAATTGAAATGTTCAGCTTAAAAACGGGTAAATGTAAAAGATACTCGAAATTTTCTAGTTCTCTATAATTTTTAAAGGCTCAGAAACTCCAAGGTCTACATGCATTGTCACAGCTTTTCAACAATATACATTTTTTTTGAAGTTACAAAGTCCTACTTTAAGGCATATAGATCATCTTTTTAATACTCCCTGAGTTTTGGGGGATTTTCATTGGTCAATGACTGAGAGAAATCCCCACACATTCAGTTGTAATCTATGTCAGTTTCTGTTGGTTTCCCAAGAGTCCAGCTATCTCTATATCACTGCTCCTTTAAGAAGAAGCAGTAACTTCGTGCCAGCAGAAGATCTCCTCTTAGAAACAACAACTGGGAAAAAACAATCCTCTAACATTGCATTGTAAGGGCACTGGTTGTCTCTGCACTTTGAAGGCTAGAGCATCCTGTTCTCTTCCCCAGTTTGACCCTTCACTTGTCTCTCTTTTCTGTCTTACAATAAAAATCAGAAGAAAGAGAAGAAAAGTGGCCTCATGCCACACCTCTCCTTCCTATTGCTTCTTGATGTTTCCTGATCCTTAGTCCAAATGAATTAGGCACATGGCTTGTGTTTGGAAAGTCACCCACTTTTGTCAAAGATGTATAGACCTCTATGGGAAAAGGATCAGACCCCATGATTTCAGTGGTATAGGGAACTCCCAGGTGTGAAAATTCCCTCCACTTATGCAAGTCAGTACCTTCTCTACAATTTATATTCAGGTTTCCCAGAGCACTGAGAGGTTAAGACATTTACCCAGGCCCACAAAGCCAGAATAAATCAGGGACAGGACTTGAACTCAGATCTTCCTGGCTTTGAGGCCAGCTCACTAACTACTATGTACACTGTCTCTTATTTTCTCAGTCAGCTCTGTATAGTCTTTTGACCTTTCCTTTGGTATTGACTCTAGTGTATCATTTATATTTCACAGTATATTTGCAAATGATTTATTATGATGAAATTTCTAACCCTATAAAGTAAATCACTTATCATTGGTCATGTTTCTTCTTCTCATTGGTCATGTTTCTTCTTCCATCTTTTGTAAAATTGAGGGGATTGGACCAAATACTCTCTAAGTCCTTTTGAATTCTAAACATTCTGTGATTTTATATGGACAAATATTCTTTTTCCTCTAGGGGAATAGATCTAGACTTCTCCTTCATAGGAAATACCAAGACCCCTTTGTTCTGAAAGTCCACAGACTTCTTGTAGCCTGTGTCATAGTGTCAGCACCTAGCACAGCACCTTCATAAGAGGTGCTCATTAAAGGTTTGTCGAATTGATTTCAACTTTCTTGGGGCTTTTAAAATCTAACACCTGGAACCATTCTTACCAAGAGTCTTTGTTTTCTTACTTTAGATTCATTTGTAGTACTTCCCTCTCCTCTTTGCTTGAAAGAGAAGAAAATTACAATCATACTGTCTTTATTTAACCTCCTAAAAAATAGGAAGCTTTTCAGTAGAACTTTTAAATTTAGGATCTTCCTTGCCTTGTTTTTTACCTTAATAGGGGTTCCCTTCCTTCTTAGTTAATTCAAATAAAGATTTCTGCAAGTATATTCATTTATTCAGCCAAGCAGTTCTTTAGTTTCTACAAGTATATAAAACTCTGTGCTAAGAGGCATGGAATATAACACAGTTTAGGTAAGACACTGAAGGCCCCTGCCCTCATGAAGCTTACACCTGAAGATTGTAAGAGTTGGTAGGGACATTAAAGCCCAAATCTAACCCCCTTACTTTATAGATGACTTGGCCTAAGTGCAAAGCTAGTAGATGTCCGAGGTGGAATTTGAACCTAGGTTTGGCTTACTCCCTAGTTCAGTACCCCGTGTGCTACCTCTCTTACAGCATGACCCACCGTGTAAGAAATGCTGAAGGGGTCATGAGTGGAAAAAGTTTAAGAAGCCCTGCTCTAGAATAACATCACACTTTTATAATTTCATCATTGATTTTGAACATTTTAGGGCTTTATCTAACACAGGAAATAGGAATGATTATTGTCATTTGTGGGTATGTCTTGAGCTTAAAACATTCTGTCCTATAGCCCAGTTCTCAGAAATTCTGTGTAACTTGGCTGCTAGTTAAGACTGAATAGCTTTTAAATCTCTTGTCCTGTTATTTTATATAATTTTTTCTTAAATTTTTTTTAATTTCTAATCTTTATCATATGCTTTTAAAGGTCTTTTGGGGTCAAGAACATTTGAATTGCTTAGTCCTTCTACATGAACTACTTTATGGATACCTAAACAATGAGGACCAATCAGAGATAGCAACTCCTGATCAAGTACCACAAATGCCATGTCCTGTTGAAAAGAGCCAGACCTTTAGAACTGAACAAAGTTCTGATGACCTGAGAACTGGCCTATTCCAGTACATACAGGATGCTGGTAAGAAAATGTAACTTACACTAGCCTTTGGGGTTGCTCGATAGTTGCTTTTTGTATGTTTTATGCAAAATGAATCAATTAGATACATACAAAGCATCATTTCAGAAGTGTGTTACCTGTATTTCCAGAACTAAAATAGTACAACACCATTAAGTTTCCAGTAAGAAAGAATTTCTTGATTTATTTTGGTCTGAAACCATATAAAACTGATAAATTTGCTCATTTATGTTCTCTTCTTTTATCCTTCTAGTTTGTTTTTCATCTGATAAGCCAGAGTGTACCCCTTTAAAAAGATCGAACTAATTAGAGCTTACTTTCTTTTGACAGAGTCCTTGAAACTGCCTGGTGTCTATGAAGTTGTGTTTTACAATGAAACCGAAGACAGTCCAGGCATGATGTTATGGAGATATCCGGAACCTAGAGTGCTTACCCTTGTTCGAATAACCCCTGTTCCTTTCAATACCACAGAGGATCCTGACATCAGTACAGCTGACCTTGGGGATGTTCTGCAGGTAGGTATTGATAGATATACAAAATACAAATTTATTAGTTAAGTGCTTATGATTTAAGAAAAACTTCTTCAGATCATACTCAATCAGTATTTTCATTACTGTAATAGAGGGTATTATTTTTTTTGAAAAGGTATGTTTCAGGGTAATATTATTATTCCAAATATACAATACATGCCTTTTATTTCAGAGGCCTGGTTTCTTGTTCTGTTTTGTCATAAATAGGTTGTTCGATCACTGGCTAGAATGAAGTTGATGTTTAGATGTATTATTGTTGTATTTTTACGATTACAAAACACTTTCCAGACATCATCATCATCATCATCATCATCATCATCAAACCCTAATGTCAGGTTTTTGAAAAAAGTAGTACAACTATTGGCCTCACTTTAAAGGTGAAGTTAAGTGCAAGCGACTTCAGTAGGATCATAAAGCTAATTAGTAGTGGCCCTGGAACTTGAATCTAGGTCTTCAGACTGAGTTGAAAATAGTTGAGTATTATTTCCACCCTACCATTTTAGCTATTTGATCTCTGCCCTCCTTACTGTAGACAACCAAAAGATGCTTTCTCTTGAGTGGAAAAATAACCCCATGTCTAGAGCCTGATAGGGAAATCATTAGCTGAGATACATTACACACCCTATGTTCATAGACAAAATATAGGCTACTGGACCTGTTGGACTCTCTGAGCTCTTTGTGACAATTATTGTTCACACTAAAGTACTTATTATCATTATTCCCAACAAAATTCTTTTTTTTAAATTAGTTTGATCTCAATATATCATAGGTATTGTTAATTTGTCATTGTTAACATTGAATAATAATATCATAAGAGATAACCCTAAGTACACCTTCCAAATTAATGCCACTCTGTAGTGAATACCAGTTTCTTAAATTGTGATAATGAACATAAACAGAATGATGCCATTGGCTGTAAATTTAACAGTCTCTACTTCAATATCCTCTAAACCCAAATTTGTTTCTCTCAAACATCAGAGTCCGCATACTTATTTATGTTCTCTGCTGATGTTTTTGGGATATTTCTATATAGTGGGACAACAGTGTCATTATTGACACTTTTATGAATCTGTAGTTTTGAGGATGTGGCACTCCCTCCACCAATGCAGTTTGTTTTCCCTCCATATTTCTCATTCTATATGATCCTTATCTTTATGTTTTTCAATAAATTTTCCATAAAGGATCTGCCCTAAAGGTTTTCCTTTCTCTAATAATATCTGGAGACTACCACATGTTGACTGTCACTCCTGATACGTGATTAGCCCACCTCATTTTCCAGGCGTGTTTGCTATTTTTCACATTATACCATTATTGGTGACATGTAGACTACATCTTTCCGTTGCTCCTTAGCTTACTTGTAATTAAGTACGATTCTTCTGAAGTATTGCAGTTCCACTGTTTTATTAGACCTACTTCAAAGGAGAATATCTCAGTTTCTTACTAGAATTTATTCATCTTGCATCCCCATTGTTTTTGAAGTGATCTCAGGGATCATCTAATGCCATCTCCACACCATAGGAATCTCTAACATAAGTGACAAGGGGGCTTGGAAGGCAAGGTGGGGAGCCTGCCTCCTCTAAAGACAGCCTATTCTAATCTGATACAACAATAATTATTAGAAAATTTGTTTTCCTTACAGTAAGCCCAAATGTTCCTCTCTGCAACTCTCACCTGTTTCTTTTGATTTTACCCTCTGGGGCCAAATGGAACAAGTATAATCTCCCTTCCCCATGACAGCTCTTTAATACTTGAGATGAGCCTCCTCTTCCCTGATCTAAATATGCCCAGTTTGTTTAATTGGTCATGATATAACGTAGACTCTAGTCCTTTCACCATCCTGGTTGCCCTCCCCTCAACCCTCTCCACAGTATCATAAGTGTCCTTTTAAAACTGGGAGACTGTTTTATTTTTTATATCTGTATCTGCAGCTCCTAGTATAGTGCCCGGCACATAGGAGACAGTAAATGCTTGTGGGTTGATTGATTGATTGATTGATCTACATGCCAAGATTGTTATCTGCAACCGTTGCCAATAATGACTGTACCAGTGACAAATGCTTTGCTTCAGCCATAAGCCAAACATAATTGTAGCTCCTTGAGTTTTGCCAAGCTGATCGTTATACACTTCTTCCCAAGCTTTATGGAAATAAAACTGTATGTCATCTTACTGATCAGTTTTTATGGGTTACCCACTCCCAACTTTCTATAAAAGTAGTCCTTTAGCTTTGTAACCTGGGAGCAATAGAGTTATTGATGGTAAACATGCTTTATAATTCTGTTACACTGGCAACAGAAACATTGAGCTAGAGAGACCCTAAATCTAGTCCAGTCTGGCAAGATCTATGGGGGAGAATGATCTTTTCATTTGCAGCATTCAGATTATATGCATTTTTGTTGTTGTTTTGTTTGTTTTTGTTTTTTAGTGTAGTTCTTAAGTTGTGTTATGGCTGTTAGAAGCAATTTGAAGCAACTTAGTTTACTCATTTGTAAATTGAAAGAGTTGGAAGTGGAGCCGAGATGTCAGAGTAGCAGGAAGAAATGAAAACAGAACCAGAAGAACAATTTATACAGTGACAACAATATGGTTAAGACAAACAACTGAAAGAATTAGGAAATCTGATAGGCATAATGACCAACCATAATTCCAAAAGACTAATGATAAAACATGCTGCTTACCTCCTTAAATTAGAGAAGGAAAGTGCAGAATGATGAATATATTTATTTGTATACGGTCAATACAGAAAGTTGTTTTGTTTCACCATACATGTTTATATGAGGGCTTTTATTTTTCTCTCGCTCTCAATTGGGGTGTGTGATTGGAAACCTCACTGGTGTGAGAGGGAGAAAAGGCAAATTTTTGCTGATTGCGAAAATATATGTAACTTAATTCTTAAAAAATAAAATAAAATGAGGGAGTTAGTCTAAATGGCCTTTCGGGTTCCTTCCAGCACTAGATCAATGATCCTATTAGCTTTTCTAGAGGCACAGATCGGTGTATCGCCCCAGCAGTCCCTGTGTTCTAGAGAGCCTATGAAAGGAAGGGTTTTCGGCTCTGCAAGAGGTACAAAAGGTAAAGGGCCTTCTTTCAGTACAATTCAACAAAATAATTAAGTGCCTGTTATATGCAAGGTACTGTGTTAGGCAGTAGGAATGCAAAGATTAGTTATAACACAGACTCTGCCTTCATGGAACACATTGTCCAACGAAGGTAAAGACATGTCTTGTATACAGTTCACTATGATAGAGAGGACCGTGGGGTAAGTGCCGAGGAGAGATCCAGGCTAAGAGCTGGGAGACGTTTGAGGGGGAGAGAACACTTGCACAGGAGGGAAACTAATAGGGATTGTTGCAATCACCCATGTTATTTCCCAGACCAAAATATCTTTCCCCAGCCGTCACTCCTCATATGTGTTGTCTCCCTTAGCACACAGTAAAACTCAATACATTTTTTCATTCATTCATGAAGGGGACTAACTTCTGAGTGAGGCCTTGAAGGTAGAAAGTGACTTTAAAAGCCAGAGATAGAGTCCGGTCCAAGCATGGGAGAATTTATGAGCAATGGCACAGAGATGAAAGAGGTCAAGTTGAAAAGGGGGGATTTAACATGCACTAATTTAGCTGGAAAGTAGAGTATCACAGAATCCAAGGGGAGGAATATATCAAGAAGATGGGGTGGGTCCAGTTTCTAATGCTTCAGAAAGCTCAAGGAAAATGAGAACAGAAAGGAGCCCATTGTAGTTAGCGATTAAGAACTTTTTAGTTACTATGTAGCAAATTTTTCATAGTAGGATAAGTCAGATTACAAGGGGTTAAGGAGTAAATAAGTAGTGAAGAAATGAGGGCAGTGAATGTAAGACTTCCTTGGAATTTGGCAGTAAAAAGTAGAGGGAGAGAATGCTTGGGAAGGTGAGATAGAATCAAAAGGACTTTTTTTAAGGATAGGGAACATTTAGGCATGTTTCAAGGCAAAGGGTAGGTTATCAAAAAAAAAAAAAAGATGGAGATACTTAACTGTTTGGATGGCTAAAACCCAAAGAATAATCATTAATAGTTTAGTGTCCACCTGGAAGAAGACCTATAGTAGAATAACCCAGAGATCTGTTTTTGGCCCTGTGCTATTTTAAAATTTTATCAATGACTTAGATAAAGGCATACCTAGCTTGATTTTTAAATTTGGTAATGACCCAAAACTATGATGGATAGCAGATGATGGAGTTAGGATCCAAAAAGATCTTGACAGACTAGAACGTTTGACAAAATCTAATAAAAATAAAATGCAGTAGGGATAATTATAAAGTCTTACACTGGGATTAAAAAATCAACTTAACAAATACAGGATGAGGGATCATGGTTAAAAAGTAGGTGTTGAGGTTTATAGTGGACTGCAGCACCAATATGACTAATCAGTGTGGTGTGGCACCCCAAAAAAATTTAATCTTGAAAAGAGCTTCCAGAATAAGAAGGTGCTAATCCTCTATTCTTACCTTAGTCAGACTACATCTGGAGTATTTTGTTCAGTTCTGGGTGCACAATTTAAGACGATCTTGGTAAGTTAGGTAGTATCCAATGAAGTATAACCAGGATGGAGAAGGGCCTCAATTCCATATTGTATGAGGATAGACTGAAATTTAGCCTAGAGCAGGGTGAGGCATAGCAGCTATCTTCAGTTATATGAAGGACTATTATGTGAATCAGTGACTGAATTTATTCTGTTTGGCCCCAAAGTAAAGAACCAAGGACAATGGGTAGATATTGTACAGAAGCCTATTTAGGGATGATGTCAAGGGAAAACTTGCTCACAATTTGGGCTCTCCAGAAGTAGAATGGACTATCTGGAGAGTGGTGGGCTCCTCTCCATTGAAGGTCTTCAAGCAGAGTCTGGATAACGTCTGCTTGGGTTATATTACAGTGGAGATTCCTTTTGCATACCAATTGGATAAGAGGGCTGATGGGGACCCTTCCAGTTTTCAAATTCTATGATTCTGT